CCCTTGCAAAATTGATGATACTGATATAGAAATCAAGTCTGAAGTTCAGTATCTTGGATTAATTCTTTCTTCTGACCTATCCTGGTCTTCCCATGTCTTAGCGATTTCCAAAAGAATATTTCGTCTGAAATTTTACATTAAGAAGAGGTTAAGGTACTCAGGCATAACTCAAACAATCCCTCCTCTCACAGTTTGTCGACTCGTTTATTTTACCTATTCTTATTTACTCTTCACCCTTATTCTTTCCTGGATTGCTTAAAAGAGACCATGTCATACTTCGTAGAACTCTGAAGACTGACTGTCAGTAGGACGAGTGGCAGCCATTTAGGCCATATCGTTGACATTGTCACTGATAGGCACTTGAAGTCATGCAGGAAATTTGCTAAAGTAATTTTGTCAGACGACGAGCATCCACCTCAACTAACCTCAGCTCCAAGCTTGTGTCTCTTCAGGTAAAACAAGAAGTCTTTTCAGAATTCCACTATACCATATTTAGCACGTACTTTCTGTGATGAAAATAGTGTTAGGCATAAAATAGCGGACTAAGCTTCTTTGAACTACTAAATAAACCATTTCCTCCACCCTTACAACATATTTTTATTTTTTTTTTTGATTACAGCTTGATTCCACACTGTATTTTGGTACAAGTATGGAATTTTCAGCGTGGATATCGGTAGCCCAAAATTCGCAGGCCGACCATAGATATCAGGTGTGCGTCGGCGTGGGCTCGAACCCCTGACCATGTGCATGGTCGGCGAGAGTCCTAACCACTGTGCCACCGACGCACCTTTATTATTATTGTACTTCTTATATTTGCAATCCCCGCAGTTTTCCGTTTATATTTGTTTATTTTCTCATCGGTGTGAACATCATTTACGCTGTGTTGTATCTGTAAGTTTTGTATTTCCCCTTACATTACTATATCAACAGAACATTAGATTCAATACTTTATAGTAACATGCTAAAATTTCCAAACTGAATCGACAATACCGTCTGAAACAAACTCACTGTTATTATTATATTTAATATTTTCAATTCGTATTTTGAATATTTTTGTCTGTATGTTGTAAACGTGGACAAATTCCTCTGGTTACATTTGTTTTAATTTTTAATTTTATTTATATTTTAAGTAAATCAGATGCAACATTTGTGACAAATGCTGAGAATTCCATTCTGTATTACAAGTACTGTTTGCTTTGGTATAATGTAGATTATTTTTATTATTATTGATTCTTTCGCAACCTGTGGTGATTGACAATTTCTATCTCTGTATTGTTTAAATACTTACTGTTGACTGTTGATATGTTTCTTATATGAATTGCATTCTAATTCCGCTAAATACAAATTCCTGATTGCTGCCCTCTCTGGGTTTTGTTTAGATTCTTATAATTCCGTCAGATCGAAATACTAATATTTCAATTACAATAAATTACTACACAACCGCTTGACTAACTATCTCTCCCCTGTGTTCTCCAGTAAATAAGTGGGGTTAGCGTAGCTGTTTCTATAAACACCATTAGCAACCATACCTTTCAATATTTCACATAGCAGATATAGTGCAGTTTACTTTTCTGTGTGTAGGAATCACTGTCTTCAGACAACAGCTACGCGTTTTTACATACTTTTCTAAAGACGTATAATTTTTAAACATTTCGTAGTTTCTTTTTTTCCGTAATATAAGTTGATCAGTCACTTTGAAATATCTAACGCATAACATATGAAAATCAATCATGCAAAATTTAGCATGACAAGTTCCGCTAACTACCTGTTTTCCTTAGGAGTATGGTCTAAAACCATACTCTCCGACCCCCAACATCCCCTCTATTCCCAACTCTCTCCTTGCATCTCATCAGGTAGAACCAGAAATCAGTAAAAAAATAATATATGCTCGTACAACCAAGTATAGGAACTCAGTGATACAATATTTGCCCGGTGTTCTAAATGACAGAGACAATGTTAAGCGCGAAACCTATGACTTGCTTTGTTGTTAATAACATAATTTTGGCCCTTGTTATTTCCCCCTTATACTCTCTTTTTTTACTCTATAGTGAACAACCTTCTTATACATACTTAGCTACCTAAATTATTAACATTGGCTTACTTTTTTATTCTTTATTCTATTCCTTCTTTTGTGTATCTACTGGTTCCGACTATATTATCATTATGAGTATTACAAAATTGTCCTGTCATTAACCATCATGTAATATTAATTTTTGTGGTTGTTCTTTGTTCGGCAATATTAACTGACAATCTTTTTTGTGAAACGCCACTATCACCATCTTAAAAATTTTATATTATGCATGATTACTCACACTACCACGACAAACACTGCATTAGTGCTGAGAATAAAAAAACCTTAAATGTTCATTCTATGATTGTATAGTGTAATTCAATCAAATTAACTGATCATCTTGGCTATAAACATTCTTAAGTACATTTCATAACTTCTTGTATGATTATAGCTGTTACTGTTCACCACGCATACACATATCATAGCTTCCACTACCCAATACTGAAATATTTTTCATTATTGGTGTTTATCTTCCTTTCTACTTGGTATTTTTATTTGCATTTTTTGTTATTTCTGTGTTTCTTTCTGGTTTTTGATTTTTATATATTTATTTATCTTTTTTGTAATACTCCTTCTAAATGTGCGATGAAATTGGATGCAGTATTGTAGATACGTGCTGAAAATTCCACACTGTATCACTAGTACTCTTTCTGGAATAAAGCAAATTATCATAATTATTATTATTGTTTTCAGATGTTTTGAAATAACGAACCCTTATGCAGACGTCTTCACTGCATATTTTCTCTGTTTTCTTTCCCTTTATATCCTCCTTTCATTCGTTTTTTGGATTCTGTCACTGAAAACCTTCATTGCCCCAAACGCTCTTCTTTGTTCTTTCAGAAGACACTTCGCCCAATACGTCACTTGCAAAGTCTCATCAATAGCATACGTCCAACTCGCTGCAACATTACAGTTTCACGGGTGAAGTTCATTTGATCATCTTGGTGCTAATAAAAACATAAACACGTAGATCAGCTAAGAGTCTATTTTCGGCGGTGAATCCATTTTCCTAGCTGTACAATAGCAAATATATATATGTGTTATTTTGTATGCATGTGAACATCAAGTTCATCAAACAAAGATATAATCGGTTATGGTTATTTTAACTAAACAGGTGAAGATTGGTAATTGGAGTTACGTAATACAAAATCAGTTAAAATATTAGGTGTTAGTGAAATTAGGGAAGTGAAGAAGTTGATGAGGTGTCACGAACAGTTACTAAAAAGAAAAGTTTCAATAGTTTGATGATTGAGGTTCACTCAGGATACACACAGGAACAAAAGAGAAGACGAAATTATGTAAAGGTTCTAAATGAATACAAGAATTATAAGCAATTAGTGAGCAGGCAAAAAAAACAAAATTAAGTCATCAAAATCAATAAAGTCGTTACCATGACAGAAGAAGTGGTGGAGTAATCGTCTTTTGTATGCACAGCTCCCGCTTTTCTATGTGAATGGCTAGAGGTTCAGTGATACAGAGAAGATGAAACCGTATTACCATAAGCAGGTTATTCTTGACTCTGTAGATTATGTTGAAAGAGATGTTTGTTGAGGTGGAATGATCAGAGTTAACCAGGTGTTCAATTATCGCACTCATTATTGCACCACTATCGCCTTCTCACAACCATGCTGGCTGGATAATGCTCTTGAATCCTCTTGGATAGGATGCGCGTCGAATAACCGATGTGCATGGCTCCACAGCAGCAAGTGAACTGATATATGCACATAGAAGTGGTCAGATACAGGATCTTGTCCTTGAGGCATCTGCAGATAAGTAGGCGACTGGAGAACACTATTCTTCGCGTTGCTATAAAAAATGTTCTTCTCAGAGATGATTTGATCCTTCTCTTGAGAATATCGCTTTTTAAATCTCCCTTGAAATCCAAGTTTATATAGAGTTTCCTTTTAGATGCAAGTGAAGTTTCATTTATGCAAATTCTTGGTTTGATACTTTTGTCAATAAGTCGTTTTGGGTAACCATTTTGGATGAAGATTTCTCTCAGAATATCTAATTCTGTTTCTAGAACATCGGAACTACAGATGCGTAGGATGCAGGTGGCAAGTGATTTAATTAAATTCCGCTTTTTTGAATGGATACCCAGAAATAGAAGCTTGTTAGTTGACCATTTCAAGTAGGTTTTCTATGGATCAATCTTCTTAGGCTCCGATCAGCTCATTAATGCCTGGATGGGGATGATCCATCTTGGTGCTATCCTGTCTGGGTGTGTCTTTATAGTGTGTTTATCCACCTCTCGAATTGGCTGACATTAACACGTTTTTGTTTGTCGCCTCTTGCGAAAGTCCTCTTATTACTATAAATATTAATAACACCTTATTCTACTTCTCTTTATTATTCCTGATTCTTTTACAACTCTCTTTTCTCAGTAACATTATCTTAAGGCGTATAAGCCTCATTATTCTAACTGTTACTATTGATGTTACTCAGTTTGTAATTCTCTATTTAGTAAAATTATTCCTATGGGGACTAATTGTTTATCTAAGTGATGTAACTGAAGGGAAGATGTATTTTAACTTGATCCTAATCTCTCATACTCCCTTCCATTTATCTATTTGAACATCACCTGTAAACAATTCACACGTGTCGTTTTGAATGAACAATTCAGTGCAGTTTCGTTGCTTATCATTCTTGTGTCTCCCAATGTATTTCCAATAGTGTATATATATATATCCCTGTATGTAGAGTATTCAGCTGAAGGGTTCCACCAAATTTGGTGAACTCAGTCAGTCCTTCTTGAATTTAACTTTGTTGCTTGTTTAACGACAACTTAACGATGGAAACCAGTACTCGTGTACTGGACAACTACTGTTTCGCTGATTATGCTGCTCCATTCAGCTCAATTACTGATTATTGTACTCGCAGTTCAAACGACAGCCTCGAATACTCCTGTTTAATCGAATGGGAAGAGCATCATGACTGGCGTTGTAGGTTATCGTGAGGATATCGTCGCGGAACTCAATAGGTGGTATGATGAATGTATGAGAATACACACACGCACTTCAAAAATGTCACTGAGGCTATGCAAGCAAACTAGTGAAATTCATACGACCTATAGTGAATTATTGAAATGTAGTAACTCGAATACCCCGAAAAATGATGGATATGGCAATCATAACTCATACTGGAAATATTCAGAATCCCCGGATTCTATGAATAAGCACACAGTTCACCAACAATCATCACTATTCGTCTTTCTTGATTATTTCACCATAAATATTTCATGTAATAATATTGCTGACTGACTTTATTCTCATACAGAAAATTGAAGACAAATACCAGGATGAATGTCAAAGTTGACGTAACGTTGGATACATGTAGATTGTAGAAACTTTCGTGAATACTGATTTTATTTTGAACTACATTAAATAAATCACTTTTCTGCTACCCCACTTTCTCTTCATGAACTCAAAGATTAATTGAACTGCTGGTAGTGAACAGGTGTGGGTAATATTTGAATTGGCGGTGGGTTGTCGTCGTCAAGAATGTCGTAATGTGAGATTGGTCATCAGTTGGCTGTTTTCAGACTGTGTCTGTTTAGTAGACTGTGTGTCAGATACTTCTGAGAGAAGAAATCGTTTTCGTGGCACAAACTGATGGTTGCGTTTTTTACACACATGAACCCAGTGGAAGATACAATCGGATCTGTTGTTTTTTTAGCAAAGAAAAGCTAACAGTAATACACGTGTCACGGACTTCAATTCGAATGGAATTGATTCAATGTTTTCGGAGGAGGTGAACACAGGTACCACCGACCAAACGGAGCAAGAGCACGTAATACACGTTTCCATACTATTTGAAATGGAACAAGATACCAGGTGTCAGCCAATAATTCAATAAAATAACTTACATGTAACAATTATTCTCTTCTTCACCGACACCTATTAGATGCAACTGAATAAGCACACACACACACACCATTTTTATGTCGATATGCTGGAATATCTGCAGAATGCAATTCCATTAACCTGTAAGTTTACGAGCAACGTGGAATCGTTGCGATGTGAACACATGGAACTTTTGATTGTACCATTCTGTCTGGTTCGTTGAAACAGCTACAAAACGCTTAGAAGACAGCTAAAACAAGGTTATTCGTTGTAAAATCTACGTGGTTCTGTTCGACAACAACAGAATTAGCAGAATCGCAAGATAACCTCGACAGCGGCATTAGGCAGCTGTGTAGGCAAGAGACAATTCAAGAAGAAAATAAGTAATTCAGAGAAGTCTTTGTAACATATAATTCACCTGTAGAAAGGAACAGCAGATAATGAAGAATACTCAAAACAATGTTGACGCGAACCTCTGTTCACAAGAATCACACTTCAACAATTCCAGGAAATAGTCCAAGATCAGAATCTCACTAATTTATCCAAATACAAACAATGAATAAAACAAAAGAGAATAAATGCATGGAACGAAAATGTGGAGTAATATTGAAACAAGGGATCAAATAGGGAGTGAAAATTGCATAATAATATAGTGATAAGAAACTCACAACTCGACCGGAAATACAACCACCAACAACAGTGTGCGCACAACTGCCTGACAGTAAACACCAATCCTCTAACAAAATCAGAGATTCCGAATGCGATCAAGCTACTGAACTCCGGCAGGGAAGGCAGTAAAACCAGATAGAATTCTCCCTGAGAAACTGAAAACAAACCCAGAGATTTCGACAGATGTTATCAGTGCATCACTGCGAAAGTTTGTAAAGAAGAAAAGGTGCCTACTGATTAGAAGAACGGCCACCTCATCAAACTGCCAAAGAAGGGAGACTTAGACCTCAGTGTGTAAGAACTGGCGTGGAATAATACTCTTTTCTATGCGTAGTAAAATACTGAGTCGCATTATCCTGAAGAGAATAAAAGATGCACTTGATATAAAACTCCGCCGGCCCGGAACAAGCTGAGTTCAGCGAAAGCGAATCATGTGCTGATCCACTTGTAACTCTGCACGTTGTCATCACAGAAAAAAGCATTCAATGGCAGTCAAACCTTACTTCAACTTCATCGACTTCGAAAGGCCTTCGACAGGGTTGACGGAGAAGTAACTTGTAAACCGCTTCAACACAACGGCGTTCAGTGCTTAAGTCTTTATCAACCCCATTCAACAGCTGCCTACATGTCAATGCCACGTGTCAGGTAGTTATTCACAACGGATAACTCGGCGAAGTATTCGAAGTGAATACAGGAATAAGAGAAGACTGGCTGCTTATTATCAGCGATGATATTCTAAATTGTAGTGAACTGGATTATGCGTCAGACTATGCACAGGAGTCGAGGAGACAGGAGTACGCTGAACCACTGATCAGAAAACTCTAGAAGATCTGGATTTCTCAGTTGATGGTATATGTCTATTGTCACACAAACTCAAAGCAAAATCCAACAGACTGACTGAAGAGGCAGCGAAAACAGGACTGCAGGTGAACACAGAGAAGCTAGAGGTGATGAAGATAAACAATTAACAGGAATATCACCATCAATGGGAGAGATTTAACAGAGGTGACTTCCTTCACTTATCTGGCTAGGAAGCGAAAGTGGAAAGAAAATGGAGCCTAGAATTCCTGTTCAACCAATCATATAAGTTCATTTGTGAAGGTGATAGAGTGGAAGATTCATGTGTGTTTCATCAAGAACCAGTGTTAATCGATATGAGATTAGTTTAGAAAAGCGTTCTTCACTCAGCTTGACATCTACCATCGAAGTAAAACACCCTTCAGTTTTCGTTCCACTAATCGCATCAGCTATTTCCCAGAAATGATAGAATGAATGAGACACACATGCTCCATCAGAAACCAGTGTGCTAGCTGAACACTAAATATAGAAGATTGAGCACGTGCATAATTGCATAGAGAATGAAGAGACATCTGTGTTATTCCCGTAGACCAACTAATGATATAGAATGCTGAGTAAAGGTTTGCCAGTTGAATAGTGCTTACTATATATAATGAACAACCTAGAATCACAAGGATTATGTTGATGCGTAATTGTTTACAGAATGAAGAAATATTTGTGTTATTTGAGGTGAACATCACACGATGTGTTTCTCATTATTATGTATCACTCTTTCTAATAATTGTACTTTAGAAATAATCTAATTATAGCAAAGATTAAAAAAAACCGTAATTTTTGTTGAAATATCCAATTTCAGCATGATCAGTTGACAGAACCAAGAAAAGCGACAAGACTTCAGATGGTCTGTAGGATCTGTTAGTGAGATCAGTGGAAATTGCAGCTGAATAGATTGGGTTAATTTTGCTGCAATGTCTTGCTCAATGATCTATGAGCTCGCTTTGTAACCAGAAGGTCCAGGGTTCGAACCCTGGTGGGTACGCACTGATGAAGAGTCCCAACCCAGGACGAAAAATCTGTCCGGTATTCCCTTGATATACCTGATATCATAATGGTTCCCTCCCCATACCCCTGCAATTTCACTTATTGCGCACATTTCACAGTTCACCTTCGCTTCTTGATATTCGCTTCCTCTTAAATAGACTAATTCTACGCGTGCTTAGGTCCTCATAAAACCACCTTTAATGATGCATAGCAAGTGGTGATCAGTCGGAATATTGCATATTCATCTTCACACTGTCCTTAAAGTCCTAATTTCTTATTGACGATTTCGTGATTTCTTACAATTCCCTTTATCGTGAAGTGGTCCTTGCTTCTCTTGAAATCATGGAATGTACACATTGGATCATAGGAAACGACCGTTACATTCGAGGAAATAAAATGAATGAAGAGTCCCAAACCAGGACGAAACAGCTGTCCAGTACTCCCAGGTTTTCCAATTGTTCCCTAACTAATGTCAGCTCATGATGAAATCCTGAAACCAATCAAATCCCTACAAACCAACACTTGAATATCAACGAATATAAGTTGGTGAATTCTCAGGAGTAATGTATATCATACTGAATTCGATTCATACTGATTACAAACTTCGTATGGATGAATGATAATCTCTTGCAGCAGCAGGTGGTGACATAATCTGCTCCTGTATTTCCACTGTGATCTGTAAACTGGACATCTGGTTTTACTGAAGATTAGCAACCACTTATTTCAACGTATATTGGTGCATTCCATGTAGTCATCAGAATTGAGTGTTCAAGTGTTAAAGTATGTTGTGTGCAGTTACCGCATACTTGTATGTACATTCTCGTCACAATATAGACAATATAGCCAAGCTACAGAAAAATGACGCCGAACTACATACTTGTAGACGAAACTCCTCCCTACAGTTGCAGGACGTACCTATTCCCCTGTCTGATACAACTATCATCTGAGACGTTTCAACTGGCGTTCATAGACCTTTTGTTCCACTAAGTTGTCGAAAACCTTTGTTTGAACATCTACATTCCTTGTCTCATCGTGGTATACGTGCCACAGTCAAGTTGATCAGCGAGCGTTTCGTTTGGCCCAAGATTAACTCCGATATTCGGAAATGGGCCCAACAATGCTTGCAATGTCAAAGATCCTAGGTACATCATCTTACCGTCACACCTCCAAAGCAGTTCAATTTACCGGATAGACGATTCCAACACGTGCATATTGATATTATTGGACCATTACCGCCATCCAGAGGGTTTATTCATATACTTACTGCTATTGATCGATCTACTCGATGGGCTATTGCTTGTCGCTCAACGACATATCCGCAGAAAATACCGCTTCGGTTTTCTTAGATCGTTGGGTGTCAAACTATGGAGTACCAACAACTATTACAACAGACCGAGGAGCTCAATTTCAATCAACTCTGTTTCGAGAGTTTACGAAACTCCTTGGAGTGAACCATATCTCCACTACAGCTTATCATCCTGCAGCGAATGGTCTGGTGGAACGCTTCCATCGACAACTGAAAAGCTCCCTAATGGCACAAGCTGACTCATCTAAGTGGAGTGAACACCTACCATTAATTCTTCTCAGTATCTGATCAACTGTCAAAGAAGATTTGGGATGTACACCAGCTCAACTTGTGTATGGTACTACCCTCACATTGCCTGGTCAGTTAGTTCCGTCTAATGATTCCACTGATGTAAATATCTCCGACTTCACCAACCGCCTTACCCAGCAAATGCTCCAGCTTCGACCAGTAGCCCCTCGCCAATCACTTTAGAAAGCTCAAGTTAACAAGAGTCTACTCACTTGCAAATTTGTATTTGTTCGCGTCGATGCCATTAGAAAAGGTTTACAACATCCATATGAAGGTCCTTTTCTAGTACTTAAACGCACCGATAAATACTTCACGCTGAACAAACATGGTAAACCGGAGACTGTTTCTATTGATCGTCTTAAACCAGCGTACACCGACAGCGAATATGAAACACTAGCAACGCCTGCACCAATAAACAATGAGAAAGCCAATGCAACTACAACTCTCCCGCTCTTCACACTTCCCCCTGTACAGACACGCAGTGGACGTCAGATCTGTAAACCTGCCCGCTATGTTCATTTCATTGACTGACATAAACGTTAACCTCATTTAGACATTCTTCTCATTACTATTGTTGTCGACATTCATTTCATTATAAATATCAGCAGGAAACGGAACGAAGTTTGAGTCGTCACTCAACCTTAGTGGCGGCGTTAGTGAATAGTTTTGAATTTGTCAGTTACACGGACCCTTCCTGATTCCTTTTACAACAATCGAGCAATTTAAACTTTTGAAAAAGTGCTAATTTATGATACTTCGGGATTGCAATTTATAACATAACTTACTGTGCCTGTAGAAATGGTACTCATTCCTTGTAAACGCCTGTTTATACGACATAGTAAATTATTTTTATTTGCTTAGTCTCTTTACTTTACCAGATGAACAATGTGTGTGTGTGTGTCACTGAATACCACAGTGGAATGCTGTCATGGTCAAAGAATTAGAAAGGAGAATGAATCTTTTTCAGCTAAGGTAGGCAAACGCAAAGCGTATAACTTTTATAATACTTTTTTCTGACTTCGGCGATTTCAAAAAATACATTTTATTCACTTATTTACAGATGCCAGGTAATTTCAGTCAACCTGGTCACAGCAATTCATGAAAATTAATATTTTTATATGAAAATACACTGTCAGGCAACTCTCATAAACTGTGAATGTCCAGCTCTTACCACGCTGGACATCACGCTGTCCCTCGAAGACTTTCAGAAACACTTTGTATTAACCAACGCGAAAATCAGAACACTGATTGGCGACTCAAGAATCCTTTATTCTTACGCTGACATGCAACCAACAATAAGGTTATTACACAAGGTCTGAGAATAAATGTTATGACAATAAATCATGATAATACTTCTGATAGTTTTTTATCTTCCCTGAACAGTGAACGATGAGACGATGATTGCACTATCGATGACTCCCGCGAAAAATATGAAGGAGTTGGGTTTGAGCAAACAACCATGAATTGATCGTTCAATCTTCAACTACACTGACATTTATATTATTATTATTATTATCGCCCAAATAATTACGACAAACAGTTGTGTAGAGACATTTGCTTGTTATTGTTTTTCATTAAATATTTTTAACATCCTTCTCACCATACTTTTCCTACGCTGAGTGAAACTAAATTTGTCATCATTACGATGTGGAGGCCTGACTTATCAATGAGACCTGAGAAAGTTATTGGTGACTTAATTCAGTGTAAGTGAAATATTACTACGATTACCACACCTCCATCTACTCAATTATTTGCACCATCGAGACTTCATTTTGCAGTATAATCATAGGGATTGACACCAGGCTTTACGTGAAATAACAGTAATGCACTACTTTTGAATGCACTTAATGTCATACGAAATCGAACTCCACCGCAGTGCCTAAGTTCTATTCCTATTTTCCAAATACAGAGGTTAGGTCATTTTGTAATCGGTCCCTACAGATTTACCTATGGCTAGGAGATATAATCGCTTTATTTTAGGCAGATGTTTATCTTTGACTTAGGTACTTATAATTCACCACTTATGTCGACCGATAGTGTTCCTACAGAGTTACACTTGTGGAGTCCTCAAAAATAAACTTATCCAATTTTTACTACTATGTAAGAAATGAACATATTGTACATCACTTTGTTTTAACCATAAACTCTGTACTTTGAACTTTACCTCGGGTTTTGAATAAATATATAGTTCTGCCTTCGACTCTCCGTCTTCTCCACCATCTCAACTGCCGTCGATCAATTATAACAACCTGCTTTCTATCTCAAATTTTTGCAGGAGCACCTTAGTTTCTTCCTACGTACTTTGGTCAACCTCCGGAAACGTCAACTTTCGAGAATTAGTACTAGAGCAGTCTTCCCGCAGCAACCCTGGAGTCTATTACGTTTATTGTGGATTTTGGATCTTTGTAAACCCAAGTAAAGAAACTTTAATATATTCTTCCCGTAACTAAAGTGATTTGGTATTTTATTTTCAATTTGAATTTGGGTAACGAAGCTAACACAGTAAAAGGTCCACCACACACTTACGCATGTTAACGAGTTCATATCCTAGGAATTACCGATCTAGCACACCGTACTCCCACCTCATTTCGAACAAATAGAACGCGAGAATATTAGATAAAGAATTTTATTCCACTGCCACGCCAACAAGTCCATTTACATGTGTAGGCTGAGCTCAGTCTAAGATAGAAGTCTTCGCTTGGGAAGTATCTTCCATTACTCGACAGAAACCGCCCAGTGTCCAAATTGTGTCACGTTTAAATTCTTCCACAATTCAAGTAAACATAACTCCATGCCCACATATAAAGTTATTCGGTATCGCAAACTGGAAAAAAGAATATCTTTTTCTTGATTTTCTTGATTTTTTTTCTTGCTGAAAATTCCATACTTGTACCAAAAATACAGTGTGGAATCAAGCTGTAATCAAGAAAAAATATCGAACAAGAAAATAATTTACGTTCAACCACAGCTCAAGAAATGCATTGGGGCCCGCAGGATCATAGTCATCCAGCTAGCATTTTTTCGGGCGCATTGCAAACTTTTTGGCAGACTTGCGGCAAATCGCAGACTTTTTGGGGCACACTTTGGGCACACTGCAGATTCCGAGGAAGACTTAGGGCGTATTGTAGATTTTTGAGGGCAACATCATGAGCGGTTATTGGCTACAAATCAACCAATGGGAGTAACCCAGATGTACTTCCTCAACCAATGACAGTTAACTTTTGAGAACTGCGTTACAATGAATCTTGATTAGTGATTAATAATACATCATTTCAAATAATATACTCTTTTAATATAAACAATCAAATAAATATACTTTTACTATTTGAATACATCACCAAAGGCCCCTCCCTCAGAAATCTTTTACTTCACTGAAATCCTTCGAAGTGGCTGAATCCACAATTTGTATTTCCACTGCTGTGAGTTGCCTGCATGTTTTTCAACCTTCTTTTTTACGATTTTTTCCAAGGAATTACTTGCATACTTATATGTTTTATATTGCAACTATAACAGTACTGGCCATTTTTATTATTAGGCATAGCGTATAAGTTGTGTAGACTGCAGGAATCCGTTGTTAACCGTTTTTCCGATTTCTTCCAGGTAACATGAGCTCTAAGAGTTCTCAGTCAAGCATCACTAATACACTAAATGACAGAAGACCACCAGCTAATGTCGAACCATACCGCCAGAAGAATTCTAGACTACGTAAGTTTATTTATCAATCTTCTTTGACGATGCAGCGCTAGTCAATTTTCACTTAAGACGATATAAGTCGACGTTCTATCGGCGTCTCAAAAAGTACAATCTGGATTGGAAGAAGCGTGTAGAAGGTAAGCTTGCCCTTTCATATTAATGTACACAGAATTATATGCGAAAATTCGTGAAAGTGAACCACAGTCAGAAATAATGCCAGGAAACATGGTTATTCCCCAACAAATTGTCGTTCCAGTTGATGTTCCTTGTAATAGCATGGCACCTCCACCATCACTGGATGAACATTTACCGAATGAACAACTGTCTGCAACAGAGGAAGCTGACTAAACCGAGTGCACTGCAGTGGAATCCGCTCGCAACTTTGTCTACAGATGCAAGCTGAATCTGGATAATACTCGTATTTTGCTGGAAGAATTTAGATCCCTGCTTCCTGAACTGCCGACTGACCCTCGGACATTGATGAGGACTAAAGACTTTTTTCAGAGGAGAGCAGTTGGTCCTGGAATATATGTTCGCATTGGCCTTCGTCGTCAGATTTTATGTCGGTTGCAAATTTTCAAATGTGAAGTCTCTGTGCCAATTGCTCTTCAGCTGAACATTGATGGTGCCCCAATATTCAACAACTCCAAATTGTAGATGTGGCCAATACAAGGGTAGTTACTTTTGTCGGGCTGTGACAAGATATTCTTGGTAGGAGTCTACTGTGGTTCGTGTAAACCTTTAAGTATACACAGTTTTTTGAGGGACACTATCGTCGAATTAGAAGGCATTTGTGCTAGTGGTGTCACATTACCCAACAGTCATCGCATAGACATTGTACTTAAGGCCGTCATCTGTGACACACCAGCAAGAGCACTAGTTAAGCAAATAAGTGGTCACAATTCAACACAAGGATGCGATAAATGTGAGGCTTTATGCCGCCGTGCTAATCATCGCATGGTTTATCCTACTACATGTGCTGCTTTAAGAACAGACATGTACGTAATAGATTTAACTCTGATTTAATTGTTGACTCATAGTTAAATGCGGAACCGTTGGCGCGTTATCCCAGGTTGTAGTTTGTCATATTAAGTTAGGGCGCATCGCAGACTTATTGGGCAAACCTTGGGCGCATTGCAGACTTTTCGAGGCAGACTTCGGGATAGTGTCCCACATCAGTAGATTTACCCGACGTTTTTGCCACAAAAAGTCTGCAATGCGCCCGAAAAAGTGCTAGCTGGGCACTGATAACCACCATGATACTTAACCAGTTTCGAGCAATTTTATATCAAAAAGAGCATTGTATCTGTGTAAAGAACGGTGAAAAACAGTAGAACAGTCAATTATTACATTTATATTCATCATAGTTGCATGCAAACCATGCATAACACAACCAAACAAAACCTCACACGATATCAATCAAATATCAAACTGACCGCCAATAAAAGATGAGGAAACACGAAGCGCGGTAAATTTAAAACGCGATAACGTACGTCATCGGATGTGAACATTGAACGTTGGTTCATTGCCCTTGGTCGCCACTGGTGGGCAACTCGAAGGCGCGAGTGGTTCAATTGTTTACAGGTTCGAAGAAAACGAAAGAAAATGAATAAAAGTACTGCATATTTTGTATAAAATATTTGTTTACAGACTATGTACTAACCCTCAACTTTAATTGCCAAAAAATACAACATCCTTCTTACAGCGCTGGTGTTTTAGAGTATAAGTCAAGAATCATTCGTAGTATTTATATACCTTCGCCCGGTACGTTCGAATCAGGTGACGCTTTTGCACGTGTTTTCGTTTATAATCATTTATTGGCTACTAACAATTGATCTTTAATAACGATGGTTACAAATTCTAAAAAGCGTGTTCGTGTGAACACCACTAATTCAGAAAATAGCACCAGCTCGTCTAATAACACATTACCATCCCATATTATTAGTAGTTCACCCAACACAAAAGCCTCAAACATAACTCTGACCCCTGTAATACAGGTGGAAGATGTTCTGTCTGAAAAAGTAGAGCTCTCTTACTTAACGTGCGTAATTAAAGAGATGCAGCTACAGATAGATGAATTAAAAACGAAATTAAGTTCACTAGAATGTATACCCGAAACTATCTCACGTATGAAAAAGGAACTGCAGGATCCTAGAATCCTAAAGCTCTTTAATATGACCTCTAGAATGACTCATACTGACTCAGAAAGTGCAAAGGAGTTAGAAAACGCCATCGACTTTCTACCCAGCGAAGTTGTTAGGAGGCTGGCTTCAAAACAAAACGCAATAGTGAATAATGTACCGGATAGCGAGCCCATAAAGTCAGTCCAGCACTCATTGCTGAAGGCTGCAAATCAATTGAATGCACCTTGTCAGTGCATTCGCCTAAGCAAAAAAGACCTAAAGCATCCTTGTCCTACACTCTTTAGGTTCGACAGCTACATAACAGCTGAACGATTTAAGATGGCCGAAGATCTTCTGGCTACTGCCACTAAATTCAAACCAAAGGCAAGCAACCAAGAATTCCTTCGATACAAAGTTGACAACACTAAGAAATACATCTGATATCAGTGCTAAAGTGTCGACGGACACTGAAGCACAGCAAGTCACGTGTATAGTGTTAGGAGAAAAAACGGCGAGTAAGAGCGGCCCAAAACTCAGTAAGAGCAGTGCCACTGGGTGCAGTCTTAGAGTGCACGAGAGCACATCTCGAAAACCTGCTGACCTACATAAGGTTGACATAGACGCACAAACTATGGCTGACCAGAAACTACTGGCAGACCACTCTCAATCTGGATCCAAGCCAGAGAGTCCCTCAGTAGAAACCGCAAAAAAGACCACAAAACCCAGAGTCCCACCCCAGACTTCGACATACCTCCCTCGTAATAAGTCTAATAAGCAGCGTGTCAGTCTAAAAAATGACAAAGCATGGGTAACGAAGCCCATTCCCAAAGAAGTCAAGCAGCATGTGAGAAGGAAAACCCCTTCCCGAACTAGAAGTAACATGCCTAACAACGCACATAACTTGGGAATGCAACGTAGAATGGATCCTCAGGATATATGGAGCACTAAACGGGACTCATATAGGCACCATATTAACGAAAATCCTCGTCCAAACTCTCGCACTATCTACGTTAAACCTCATCAACATAATGAGAATAGGTCGACACTTGATCCCCTCAGTAACTTCACTCACACGTAACATGAGCCAATATGCATATGGCTATGAAAGCCCCATGAGGTACAACTACCAGGGTAATCTTAACACAGGGTACCTAGGTCTAGCAAACTACAACCCAAATTGCAGGGCAGACCACATATCACCAGTAGATGAACGCAGATGCCGACCCATGGATGCTAATAGTCAAAATATGCAACAGGATTATTTTTGGCTGCAGCAAACAATAGCCCCACTCGCTGCACGGTTCATCCAGGAAATAGTACACACACTGACTCTGTCTCACCTCAGAGTCCCTCCAAACATAACGTAGGGATAGTGACAAGTAACCATGTTAACCTCTCCTCCAATAACTCTGGTTTACTAACAATTATGCTCCTGAATGCTAGATCTCTCCTTAATAAAATAACAACGCTTCGCTGCCTGGCATACATAGAACGGCCAACACTAATAATGGTGACTGAAACCTGGCTTACTACTGATACACCTGACACAAAGCTAGTAATAGACAACTACGACATCTATAGGAACGATAGAGTTGACAAATGAGGAGGCGGTTGCTTAATATATGCCTATAAATCCACTAACTCCAATACTTTCAATAACCCAAATACTGACAAACTCCCAGAATCTAAGTGGATAAGCATCCACACAAACGAAAGTAAAATTCTCGTGGGATGTATATACAGACCCCCCAATAGCCCTGAAATGACTGATATAACTATTGCAGAAATACTAGAGCATGTAGCTACGCTGGACTTCGACTACAAAGTAGTATGTGGAGATTTCAACTTACCTGGAGTAAACTGGGATACCTGTACAGGACCTAGAATCCATGAAGAGCTACTACAAGCTATAGACATAGGAGGATGGAAGCAGTGCGTACGCCTCCCTACAAGGAACCAAAATACTCTTGACTTAATCCTCTGTCATAACATAGAGCCCATCTCGATAGAGGTGGGAAATAAACTCGATAACAGTGATCACAACATATTGTACTGCACGCTACCCCTCCGACTAACAACTAAATACACACCTAAAAATTCCCCGGTGCGCTATCAATATAGGGACTATAAGAATGCTGATTGGGAATTCCTACCAGATCTGTTGAGAAGTTCTGACTGGGAAGAATACTTCATCAACAATAACTTAGAAGTATCGCTTGAGATTTTCTACAAAACAGTTGGCTCAGCAAGAGACACAATCGCGCCCCTAAAATCTGCCCTAAAGACACCAACTCCATTTATTGACCGCAAAACGCGACTAAAACTAAAGAAATTGAAAAGGAAATACCATGTATTTAAGGAATTTAATGCGTTAAACCAAATACATGAAACTCTTAAACTGCTTGAAGAGAAACACAAAATGAAGTCACAACATGAGGAAAATAAAGCGCTAATGGGTAACACCAAAACTCAGGAACTTTGTAGGATATTGCAAAAACGTCTAAAAAGCAGTAAAGACAATAATGTAAGCATCTTGGAACATAGGGGTGTAATATACAACGATCCCCAGGTTATAAGTGAACTCCTCAGTGAGTGGTTTTGCAATGACACCAGAGTGCACCCGACCCCAAATTTCCAAATGACCTGCAAAAGCAACCACAAATTAGGAGAAATAGATTTTAATATACAAAATATAGACTCAGCGATTAAGACATTGAAGTCAAATGGCAGTACTGGAACAGACGACATACCATCTGTCATATACAAAATGGTAGCACGGAAATGGTAGTCTTGTTACTTAGAATATTTACTCTGTCACTGGAAACTGGAACTTATCCTGAAGTGTGGAAAACCACATACATATTACCTAAGCACAAAGCATGGGCCAAAACCAGTGCATGCAACTATAGACCTATTAATATAACACCGGTAATATCACGAATAATGGAGAAAGTGGTTAAAGACCAAGTGTCAGACAACTTACTAGAACATGAACTTATCAACCCATCACAACACGGATTCCTCAAAAGAGATCATGTGGACCTGTCACATAGACTTTTTCAACGAAGTTACACGAAGCAGGGACAACAGAGAACTAGTAATTGTGCCATATTTCGATATAACAAAAGCCTTCGATAGAGTCCCCCATAATCTGCTAGTCAGCAGGTTATGCTCACTAGGGATATGTGACCCTCTCCTGAGCTGGATAAAATCATTTCTCCGTGACAGGAATCAGATAACAAAAGTTGGCTCGATAATCTCAAGGCCAAAACCTGTAAGTAGTGGTGTAATCCAGGGAAGTGTTTTGATGTGGTTTTGTTCTCTGAGCTGGATAGTTAGTTTGCGAAGCTTTCATCACCTTACTGGGTGACATCTTCAGCGCATACTTCAAATTGAAGTGAGCTTTTAGGTTTCTCCACGAGTTTATTAATCATTCCTCCTGGTGACCTTGGACGTGATTGGTTGTTTATGTATGTTTTCACACCTTCTAGGTTACTTGTGTTGGAACTGATTGTTTCTAGAAGGTGTGAAAACATACATAAACAACCAATCACGTCCAAGGTCACCAGGAGGAATGATTAATAAACTCGTGGAGAAACCTAAAAGCTCACTTCAATTTGAAGTATGCGCTGAAGATGTCACCCAGTAAGGTGATGAAAGCTTCGCAAACTAACTATCCAGCTCAGAGAACAAAACCACATCAAAATTATCCACCTGAGTTACAAATCTTCTCTATCATACCAGGGAAGTGTATTAGGCCCACTCCTATTCATAATATATATAAACAGTATCTGTGAATTCTTTAGTGTAGGTAAACCAATACTATATGCAGATGACTTAAAAGTGACCTATAAATGCAAGAACACAGATCTCGGAATAACAGTAAACGCCATACAGCAAGAATTAGAAAAAATGGATAGATGGTGTGACACCTGGCAACTCCAGTTTAATGTCGACAAATGTGGCTGGCTCTGCATGGGTTGCAACAATTTAGAACTTGACCTGACAATTCAAGGCCATGCACTTCTACGACTGGAATCTGTATTGGACCTAGGACTGAAATACTCACATGACTTATCATTTTCCAAGCATATCTCCAAACAAGTGTCAAAGTCACGCAGACTTGTCGGCTTTCTACTCAGGAACTTCTACAGAAATGAGTCCAGAATTCTGTCGTACAAGGTTTGTGTGCGTCCTTTATTTGACTACTGTTCATTCATGTATAGTAGTATACGCATAGAGGACAAATTGAAAGTCGAGGGAGTGCAGAGGTACTTCACGTCAAAATTACTCGGAACCGAAAATGGTGCGAACTACTCCACTAGATGTGACACCCTAGGATTAGAAACACTATGGCTAAGACGCCTGAGACTAAACTTAACACTTTACTATAAGCTTCTAAACCACTTAGTTCTTACCTCTACTAATGGCATTCGACTTTCAGATGACAGTGGCTACAAACTAAGACACACTAAGGGTACACTAGCTATCGAACAATGTAAAACAGCTACCAGGCAAAAGTTTTACTTGATTAGGTATGCACAGATATGGAATAAACTACTAATG